CCCCCCCCCCCCCTCCTCCCCCCCAAAAAAAAATAAACCGGCCCCATCTGGTCCGGGGGGAGGGTGCCGCACGCGGCAAAGCGGCCCGGACCGGACGCTCGTCCGGTCCGCCTGCTTGCAAGTATGGTTCAAGGCCATCGCCAAAGAAAAGAAAAGAAAAGAAAAGAAAAGAAAAGAAAAGACCAATCAATGCAACTCCAATTGAGCTTAAATTGAATAGTATTTGAAAAAAACTTGTTTCATTATGATCCACTCAATAGAATCAATAAAGAGAAGAGAAGAGAAGAGAAGAGAAGAAAAGAAGAAAAGACAAGAAAAGACAAGAAAAGACAAGAAAAGAAAAGAAAAGAAAAGAAAAGAAAAGAAAGAGGCATTGGAGGGCATGAGTATTAGGGAGCCACAAATGCTGGACAGAGAACAGTTGCAGCCTTATGATAACGACAAGGAAGTGGGGTGAAAGTGCTGCCCAGTGCCGGAAGTGGGGCATGAGTATTAGGGAGCCACAAATGCTGGACAGAGAGGCCTAGTCACTCACATTTTGTCGGTGGCGTGTGGAAGGTAGGTAAGAGGGAACTTTTGCCGAAGCCTTGCTGTTGACACTGCACAGCAATTGGAGAATCTCATTCATCTCATTCATCTCTTGTTTTCTGGAGCTGCGTGGTGTGGATGGATATCTGATATTTTGCCTTGCTTGGTGTGTTCGGTGCCTTCTTTTTTTTTCTTTTTTTTTTTTCTTTTTTTTTTTAATCCCTGCCATTATTGTATATCCTTTTCTCAGGCATTTACAAAGTTCTGGAGAGCTGCACGTTCAGAGAGCTTGGAGGAGAAGGCTGAAGGCCTGCTAAGCTGAAATTAAATTCGTCCGGAGACGTATTATTATGCTGGCAGCATGCCCTTCAATTAACCAAAACAGCAGGAAATTAATAATAATGCAATACTGTGGAATTTCTAGGTGTTGCTGTGTAAATGAGGTAATTGTGCAAGTCTTTGTTTATACAACGCCCTTTTTTTTTTTTTGTTGGGCGCACCCTCCTCGTGATGGCTTATTTACTGAAGCCTCTTCTGCAATTTTTTTTTTTAATTAAAAAAAAAAAAAAAAATTGTACCATTTGAACCATTTCTCAATTTGTGGATGTGATGCTTGAGGAGGTATCATGCCAATCTTCTCTGTATTGTGCCAATTTAAACGGATGTCCCGGAGGACGCAAATTGAACCGTATGAAATTATTAAATTAATAAATTATGAATCCTACCCATACTGTGCTCTCTCCCTTCCACGTCTCCCTGCTCTCTGACAGAGGGACTGCCACCGCTGTTGCCTCGTAGCCGTCTGTCCGCTAGGGAGTGTGACTATCCACTGTTTGAAAATAGTATGATGACCTTCTAAATTGCCTAGTCGTGTGTGGACGAATCCATCCCTTCTGAATCTGTTTCTCAATGTATAGCCAGTGTTCTCCATGGTCTACCCTCGCCAGATTGAAGCGCATCCCCGTGACTCCCTGCTCCTTCACAGAGGGCGTCCAGTGCTGTTTCCTCGTAGCCGTTTGTCCCCTAGGGGGTGTGAGTCCGTGTGACCATCCAATCTTTGACATTAGTATGGTCACCTCCTTTAATTGCCTACTAGCTGTGTGTGGCCCAATCTATATCCCTTCTGAATCTGCTTCCCAATATGTCTCCTTTGTCGGGGTTTATCTATATTTCGGCTTTTGTTTCTCTCCATAGCACTCTGGTTTTGATCTCTATACTAGTCTATTTTTGCTTTAATTCCCATTAATGGGCTTTCTGGTTGTGTTATTTGAGCTTACTTCACATTCAAAACCACTACTTTTCTCAGTGTTGTGAAAATTCGGAAAGTATCCTATGCCGCAAACTTTGGAGGTCCCAAGGAGGCTCGGCAGGATGAAAAAAACAAAAAAAAGATTGGGACCCTACGGGCCCACGGTGAAGAGGTGGGGGGAAACTAAGAATTTTGAATCCAGCGACGTCGGGGAAGGTCCCTCACGTAAACGGAAGTCACACCAGTGCTTTGAGGAATGTATCTGGCTACTATGTGGAGAACGTGATTGCTGTTGTTATTGCCATTTCAAGTTCTTCTGCTTGTTGCTTCTGCTGCCCTGCCAACGAGGCAGGGCGGATTCGACGCTGGGCAATAAACTGCCTCACTCACCTCATACTCACACTAGTACCGTAGCGTCCTGTATCGTAACGCGATCACAGCATAAGGGATGTTTTTGTTTTTTGTTGTTGTTCATTTCTTCGTCGAACAGACGCCCTCACAGGAAAGTTTCGTTTTTTTTTTTCTTTTTTTTTTTTTTTGGTTTTTTTTGGATGTAACTGCCATGAGTACCAGAAAAGAACAACGGGACCCAACTCGGTGCGCAGTGAAGTTCAGGTTCGGCAAAAACAGGATTGGAGGTAGTGGTGGTTTCAGTCTACGCCTCCACAGGGCCCGTAGTGTTTCTTTTCTTTTTTTTCTTAACCCCGGACACATGCTTGAGGTATCATCACATGGAACTGACCGGCCCCAGGTAATTCAGAATTTTCTGGTCATCTGTTTGTATCGGGATACAAACTTGGGTCTGCGTTTCAACAGATTGTGGGTGTACCAACTGAGCTAGGCTCGTTGATTTGGTGTTTCTTTTCTAAGAAGATAGAATATGCCATATGTGTCTATGACTAGGTGACATGCTGTTCAGACTTTTGTTTTTTTGTAATGAATGTGGCCACCGGCCGGAGGCCATAATTAAACACGAAACAACGACTATTCAATGCTTGGAGATCGTAGACGAGGAAGTGCCTTACCTTGCTCTGTTGCTAGACCCAAATAATGAATTGCAATTCCAACCTACGAATACATTGCGGCCCAGATTTTAGATCCAATGCAAGATCCTGGATGCAAGCACTACATTCAATTGACAAGGATGGTTGATTTCAAAACCGTTCAATTTCGCTACATCATTAAGACACTGATGTCCTTTGGGTCCATGTCTATTTTTCCTCTAGATGGATTTTTTTAGTATCCATGATTAGGGGCAACCAATGCATACTAGGTATACTTTTGACCAATGCCAGACAAGTCAAGGGAAGGGCCATCACAAATGACATGTTTGTTGTACCGCTAAAACTTAAGACTCCTTTAGTGCCATACAGGCCAACTTGGACCTCTACTAGTACCTCTCGGCATCCTCAATTAACTGAAGGAACTCAGCAACAATCTCGCTAAGAGAAGGGACTTACAGTGAATCAGGCCTTAAAACTCTCTTTTGGAATAACGAAGAAAATTCTTGGGGGTGCAGGTGGCGCTTGAAGACTATGTTGAGATGCAGTAGAATGGAAGAGAGTGCTTACAAAATTAAGCAGCGAAATAAGATCGGTGAAATACTGCTGATGGGGTGGGCGTTGTAAATTGATACATCCTTATTGCCTCGCATTTTGTACTCCACTGCCATCTATGCTCTGAGCAACAGCAATTAGAAGAGAATCGGGAGTACAGTGGCCCAATACCTATGGAAGATTCGAGCAGAACAGGATAATGGGGGGTGCACAGTGGGAGCCTGCACCCTGTTGGCTACACCCTGCAATTAGAAAAACAAGTGGACCCCGCCACGGCTACGCCGCGGCGCACAGCAACACTCGCTGATCGCGTCTCATTTTTGTTTCATGTCTCTCTCTCTCTCTCTCTCTCTCTCTCTCTCTCTCTCTCTCTCTCTCTCTCTCTCTCTCTCTCTCTCTCT